CCCCGAGTGGTTCCTGACCACCTCCTCTACCGCCCAGCACTCACGGTTACCATGACGGTCCACGTTGGATCATCTGCCCTTGTCTGCTTCTGGCTGCAGTGAAACTCATGAGAGCATGGGGCTTCCCACCAAACCCCTCACCTAGACTCAGGGGAGCTCTGGAGGCTACAGGGGCACAAAGGAGACGTTCGCAGCCAGCAGGCACCTGGTTGAGTGCATGGGACCAACGGGGTCTGATGTGGCCGAGGGTGAGCAGAGGCCACTGGACACTGCTGGCCAGCACATCAATTCAGTTTTTCTTGGGCCGCAACGTTACACCAGCATTGAAAGAGGAATTGCTTCACATGGGGTCGTTAATGGGTCTGAGTGGTGAACTCGTCTCCATGTCCCCATTTCTCTGGAATATGTGTGTGTGTGGGGGGGGGGTTGTTATACTAAAAACAGTTCCTTCTTTCCTTCTCTGAGCTGCTTGGTTTTCTGCAGCCACTATCTCCCCTCCCACCACCTGCTGTGTGTCCCATAACGGTGGACAGCAGGGTGGGACCTTGTAGGAGAAGAGCCTTCCCACCAGCGTGGCCCAAGGCTGGTCATCTAGGACTCCTCAGCAGTGGCCTCTGATAGCCAAGGGTCTCCAGCTAGTCTTTCTTCTAAAATGGAAAACTCCCTACTTATTTTCAAGAAGGAGGCACATTTGAAGGCTTGAATGAAATACAAATTAATCTACAAACTTAAAAATCTCACACAAATGTAATAAAGGCTTTCTCTTTCAGGGGTAAAAGGTTATTTGCCACCAGGTCAAGCACAGGGACAGTAAACAATTCCATCAAGTCCAGTGGCTTATTCCAGGCAGGAAGAGACCAACTAATGGAGGCAGCAGCAGCAAGACATGGGGTGGTCACACCGGTGCCCACCATGGCCTCCGCCCCACAGTCCTGCCATCATACGCATTCCATGAGGGCAGGATACTCCTGGCCCAGGTACAGTCACAGTCCTGGGCTTGTTGCCCCACGGACAGAGCGTCTGCATTCTGCACTTGCCTGCTCCATCCCTCCTGCATCCAGACCTCAACCTATGAAGGCAGAGGGGACAGCGGGGACAGTGGAACCTGAGCTACGAGAAGCTCCCAGCCAGCAGGCCCAACCCCTCCGAGCTCCTGGCGCTAAAATGCAAACCCTTTACACACGTCAGCCTCACTGGCTTTTTGGATGCTCAGTGTGAGCTCACAATGGACAATAAAGAGGTATGAGTTTTCCAAAAACACACATGTGGACCGTGGCACTTCCTGCATTTCACCAGAGAACCCAATATCCTAGGACATCCCCTCGCAATAGAGATGTGCAAGGCTGCCAGCCACACACCTGCCTCTCAGCCGGGTTCTGGAGCCACCACCACAGGTCCCCCTTGCATGGCTGGAGCTGGTCCTAGGTAGGATTCTAAAAACGCAGTGAGGGCTTTTTCTGCCTGTAAAAAACTGCATGAGGATAAGTGATGTGTGTGGGACACCCACATGGGCTGGATGCTTAAACAGGGTGAGTTTGGGGAGGAAACGGCCGCTCCCAGGTGAAACAGGAAAAGGTGCCACCCCAAGGCTTAGTGGTGTCTCCGGCCCCTGTAGCATCTGATATTCAGCAACGTGAGTCTCATGGAGCATGTCACCGGCTAAGCCGAGCTGAGCAAGGCCTGTACTAGGCACGCCTCAGCAACAGCACAACACGGGGGGCTGCAGCCAGCCTGGTCCCCACCTGGGGCCACCCCCCTGCGTGTGGGCAGGAAGAGCAGGAGGGAGCCCAAGAACCCTCTCTAGCCTCCAGTTTACTGTCCCCATTAGGATGTCCCGTTCCGGCCCCAGGGCAGCTGGACCCTCCCATTCACCTTCGCTCGCAACAGTGTCAGACACAAACGTAGACTGCTCAGCACATGTTTTATAAGATGTGGGCTCGCGTTTAAATAAAGATAAAAGGACCGACACCCCGGGTCACTAGAGTGCAGTGCACGTGTAATAAAAAGCCGCCTCCATGGTGACAAGCTCCAAGTCCCTCAGCAAGCGTACCAACCGATGGCCGAGGCTCTGTATCCAGGTTTTCTGTCCTGACCAGCATCTGGCTGCTCCTCCCAACAGGTGGGTGCAAGGGCTCAGCTCCCATGACTGGCCTCAGCGGGCAGCAGGCTGCAGAGCACACATGACAGGGTTAGGACAGCCTGCACCGTCTCTCCACCCTCTCTGGACCCTGCTTCCTATAGGAAACTGCATTTATGCCACTTCCTATGTGTTGGTTACACAGGTGTGCGGAGACCTGGAACCACATGGGGCATAACCAGCACATTTCTGCATGGGTGTTCAACAAAAAACTCAAACACAGCCTCTCCAGAGGGAGGGGTCAAACCCAAGCCCAGAGGAGCAGCAGGCATGGGCACGGGCACAGACACGGATGAGGAACGTGGGGGTGGCAGAGGAACAGCTCAATCCCAATGACCACAATTCAGCTCCTGCAGAACCAACAGACTGAAGATAAACCAACAGTAAGTCCTGATTCTCTGCCTGCCAGGTACACACAGAATAGTCAGAAATCTCCCAATGACCACGCAGAGCCTGCAAGAACAGCTTGAGGCCCTGAAATCTCAGAAGACTACAGTGCCACTGCACACACACATTGTCCAAGGCCGTGGACAATGGTGGCCTCGGTGGACACAGACCAGCAGGCCCTGGAGACCCTGCAGGGTGACAGCCACCAGGTGGGACGAGTGTTCGTGGCAGTGGTGATGGTGGGAACACAAAACAACCAGACCAGGCTCTGAGGAGGCGTCTTCCCCAGCACAAGGAAGGCTGCATCTGAGAAGAGCTTGGTCAACGCCAGCTCCTCCGAGGGCCAGAGAGGCTGGACAGCCACCCACCCAGCAGAGGGCCAGTTCTGGGTGCAGATGCTCCACAGGACACCCCCAGATGTGCCCTGTGGGGGAGGGGGACTCGGGGAGTCAGGGCAGCTGGAGCAGAACACCCAAGCCCTCCCGGTGCTTAGTGTCTGCCCATGCACCACAGCTCCTCAGCTCTGCTTTAGATAACCAGCTGACTGGGAGGCTGGCCATGTGGGTACCTGAAAGCCATGAGGACCCAGATGTTCTAGACTGGAGCTCAGGACAGTAGCTCGACAGTAGCTGTTTGGAGGCCTGGCATGGAAAGGGCCCCAGGTGTCCCTGGCGCAGCCTGAGGGGGGACATGCAGTTACCTTGGGGACCAGCTGAGGTCTGGGCACGCCAAGGAGGTCACACAGGTGGTTCCGCTGGCCTCTCACGAGCAGGAGCTCCGAGTCCCTGGGGAGGAGAGGGCAGGTTGGCTTCAGCCCCAAGAAAGGCCTACTCACGTGCAGTCAAACCTGCCACGAACTTTACACTCTCAGTAAACTTCCTGTCGGTGTGCAGAAACCCCAAGGCATCTCAGGTGAGACCAGGGAATGACACCCACCCGAGCCCGTACCCTGGCCCCTCACTCGGGTGTGAATCTGCACAGGCTCCACTCCTGATCCCCTTTCTCAAGGAACTGCAAGACTCTGCCCCTGACACAGGATGCTACAGGAAACAGGTGGGGCCTGGGGAGGGGCAGATGGGGCAGATTTTTATCACATGGGCTTTTTAAAAGTTTTTATTTTAAAAGCTGTTTTATTACTTTCATTAAAAATAAAAANGGGGAGGGGCAGATGGGGCAGATTTTTATCACATGGGCTTTTTAAAAGTTTTTATTTTAAAAGCTGTTTTATTTCTTTCATTAAAAATAAAAAATTTAGCAACCGTAGAGAAATACTGGATATTTTTCTTGTGTAACAAGGAAAAAGTTCTTTTAAAAACCCTCTGGAATTTTTTTCTTAATAGAAAGGGATTCCATTACAGGAAAAGAACCTTCTTCCCTCTGTCCAACACTAAGCGAGTCTGCACAGCAGCCCCTGCCGCAGCCACACAACTCGGACACACACGGCACATCCTTGCGTAAGGACGAGCCTCCCGCACTGCACAATCCATGCCTGTGACGCTGCAGCTCGGACAGAAGCATGGAACCCCAGAGTGACCTGAACCCAGTACAGCGGGCATGGCTGCACCAGCTCCTATCGGCACCCAGAGCCTGCTACATGCTTAGTTCATGAAAAAGCGCAGAGACCCTGGCCCAGGTTCCATTCCTGGTCAAAAGCACGTACCTCTGTTGCAGGCTTGATCCCCGGCCCTGGTTGGGGTACATGCAGGAGGCAACCATTCAATGTGTCTCTCTCACATCTATGGGCCCCCCCATCTCTCAAAAAAAAAAAAAAAATTGTGAGGATTTAAAAAGCCCAAAGAGAAATAAACATTTAGCTCATTGTTCCAAAAAATTGCACTTGGAAGAAAAATAATTTCACCTTGAAAACATACCCCCGAACACCCCAGGAGGCACCTCCTCTGCACCCGTGTGTGGCTTGCACAGCCCCCTGGAGAGAGCCTGAGCTTCAGAAATGTGGACAAGCAGGGGAGACTGTTATACCCACCACCGCCGCCTCGTAAAACCCAGAGTCAAGGCCCTCAAGGGCTGGGAGCCTTGCTTTTCCTATTCCCTTTGGAAGGTTTTGGGGAGACAATGCAGGGACAGGAAAGGTGGTTACGCCCCACCCCCATTCACTGCAATGTGCACAACACGAGCCCTGGAGAACGGGAGGGGGCCACGCACTCACCAGGCAGTGTCACTGAGCACAGCCATGACCTCGTCCAGAACGTCTGTGCCCACGACGTCACTGTAGGTGAGCAGCATCTCGTACACCTGGCTAGCAGTGGTCTTGCGGATCTGGACGGGACAGTGTGTTAGTGGGAGGGGGACCAAGATGCACAAAGCAGAGACGCCCCACCCACACTGGCCCCCTGCTGTGTCTCAAGAGGCAGAGGAAGGCGGTGCCTCCACCCGGATCCAGAGTCCACTCTGCAGTCACTCGCCCAAGCACCATAGACACCTGCACCAGCATCCAGAGCACGCACCAACATGCCACTGTGGGAAAACCCAAGGGTGGGCAGCTGGTCACGGCAGCTGAGGAGCAGCAGCCACTCACCACAGGGAATGGGTGGCAGAGCAGGAGCAGCAGCTGAAGAAGGACCTTTCTCCTCACACCACCAGGGAACTGTGCCATCCCACAGAACCTGCAGGGAAGCCCACAGGTGAGCGGACCTGTGCACAGGACAATGCCTGGAGCCACATGGCCCCAGGCCTCGGGCACCCCCAGTTCAATATCCATGATCACTGCAAATCAAGGCGTCCAGACCACTCATCCAGCTCTGCCCATATCTCCAGAGTGTTGGGACACTGCACCTCCCCTCAGGCCAAGGCCAGGCATGGTCTGAGCTGGGGACACTGCGATGGCTTCACTCTTGTTCTCAAAGCTTCACATGGCCTCAGAGCCACAATGACTGCTCCCCACCTCCTCTCCCCAAGCCCATCTATGGGTGCAGTGACTTGGGACTCACACCGCAATGCTGGACCGCAATTTCTGGACGTCCTTAGACTTGTTGATTTCTGCCTTACAAAGCGCGAGCAGCTTCACACAGAAGGGATGGCTGCAAGGAAAGCAGAGGGCAGAAGACATGAGCTGAAAGCAAGCTGCTCCTGCCGTGCGGTGCGGCAGCTGATGACCAGAGGGCCACATCCCTGGGGGATGCCCCACCAGGTCACCTTAACTGGTTCCTGTGCAGGTGCAGCAAGGGACAGACACTCCTGCCTCATGTGCCCTACATGCCCCCACCCCTAATCTTCATGGAAGCTCGGCAGGTAGACCCCTGATGCAGCGCCGAGACAGTCCCATCAAGCGTGTGCTATAACCCAGCCAGACTCCCCTAGGATCAAAGAAGAGGGCAGCACTGTAGCCAGGCCCCACTCGGGGCAGGAGGATCAAGGAGTGACCAGAGGGAGACACACACTCATCCCCCAGCTCTGCACACCAAGCCGAGCAGTCAGTCAGCTGAGGACATAGGGCCAGGGTCCCTGTGCGATGGACATGCTCCTCTTCTGGGGTGCCACGGCCCCCACTCCAGGCCAGTTTTGGACACAACGTGGGCTAAGGCATGTTGGCCCCAGTGACCCTGTGCTTCCTCTTCCCTAACCTCAGGCTGGAGCCCGGCCCAGGCGACCTTGGATATGGTCAGGGGGCAGAGCCTCATCTTGCTGGACCTCTGGGCAAAGGCACAGGACAGACCAGCCCGGTGGGCAGAAAGCATGTGCCATGCTGGCTGTGGCCATTTCAGGGGCTGTGACAACA